AAGTTGAATACGGCATTCAATACTACATTTACCGCTTCTTCAAAATAAGACGAATGCACACGGAAGACTTCCATTCTGGCCACGCCAGTACGGAGGCCCTTCATAAAATCGGTCACTGTAGCCGCCTTGGAGAGAGGATTTGCAGCCATCCTGACAATGAGTATACTTAACTCCTGGACAATGTCCACCAACTTCTTCTTGCTCTATCAGGCGGCAAGGAAACGCGATCTTACTAAATATGCCTGAATAGGCGGCAAGAACACTCGCAAAAAACTTCTGCTCCATCCAGGAGGGGAATGCCGCTTCAATCAGAAAACCGCACGTCAGTGCCCATTCTCGCGCTCGGCTCACGAGCTTGACGAGAGCTAGCGCGCTGTTGCTCGTTCTGGAGCATAGCGGATGATATTGCTATCTCGACCTCTCCCACCAAAAGCAAAAAAATTCTCTCCATCCTTACCCTCGAAGGTTTTAACACTCACCATGAGCGGCCTAGGTCGGGAAAAGTCATCCGTCGTCGGCGATGGCGTCATGGACGCTGTCAACGCCAACATCTTCTGCTCTGGGTGCTCTAGCAGAGCATTTTCACGGCTCTTAAACGCCTCTAGGCGCTCCTTTATCGCTTCGGGTCCTTGCGAAACAAGGTGTTCCACGCCTAAGCAAGGACATCAGCTTATTTAACCCGTCCTGCAAGCCTTGTGGCAAAATGGAGAACTGCTCCATCCTCACAGAGGATCAGTCGTAACGACGCAGGCGTAACCTGTCGACGCGTGCTACCAAGTGCAGGCCGCCGAGCTCTTTGCTGAGAGGAAGCTTACTTAAGGCCACCGATACTTGAACCAGTACAAGTGTAGCGGATCACAATCCGCTACCTCCAAGAGTACCCGAAATTCTCCTAATTAAATAGTAAAACCTAATTAATGCATAAATACTGGCAGTCCCGCCACGTAGTGGCTTCTTGTCACGGTATAGCCACACCATCGTGTGACTACACCAACTTGCGAGATCCACTTCTCTGTACGGTCCAACCGTCTTGTGTGACCCATTCTGGTGAACCAGGGGACATGTAACCCCTTTACACCCTGAATCTAGGTCGAGTGCTTTGGAATTCGCTCGAAAGATGGGGATTGTTGATTCTGATGCTGAGATGTAATCGAATACCGGACAAATTGATGAGCTGACGGATGTCAATGATACACTTCACCTCAATCCTCCATCTCTGCACAATCCTCGACAACACGCAGCTTGACAAGCGTTATAATTTGCGGGGTCGAAAGACCTTTGACTGTTATGATGTCTGCAATTTGTGAGCATCTTGGGCAAAGTAATCACGTAAGCTAACCTGTTTGCTATGCAGCTTGTACTAAAGGTGATGTGCTGTCGCAATTGTAGCTTGGCTGTCCACGTTTTCCACTATTGTAGATATTGTCCTAATATGACACGGCAACAAAGTCTTTTTGCGCTGTAAATGAATCGACATTGTCTTGTGACGCAATGTATACAACGGGCGCACGACGAGAACCCGAGGATCAGAGCAACGTGCTACCCTAGGTAGCGTCGACGTACGCGGTGGGCATAAACGTCGATAAATCACGACAAAAAAGTAAATCTAATTTTGGCGCGTACTAATGAGACTGGTTGGACACGAGTCGCAGCATTTTGTCGGTTTGAGGTGGCGACTTGATAAAAGTGACTCAAGTTTCAGATTGACACATAAACATCTTGACGTGATGTACCGGCGATATAGAGATGGAAGCCAAATCGAATTTGGTACTTCTTCGGGTCAGCAATTATTTCACTGCTTATAAATCGCTCAGATTCTGCCCGAAAATATTCATTTTATGGCAGGGAAAGGTAGAGTTCGACCTAACTTCTCGGATAGTCGCTGGAAATATAGCTGCTGACACAAATGAAGCCTTCCATGCTCATGATAATACTGAAACTTAATCTCCAGCACGAATCGCTAATCATCGAGATTCTTAAGCGTGAACCATTCTAAGAAAATAGACTTAGAACCTTTGGTTTCGCTGTAATATCCAGCGAGTAAATTCATCGAGCACTCAGCAATCCTGATACTAGACATGAGGCGAACAAACATGCACTTGTCAGAGCGACATGGGTGGAAAGCAAGCGACCTTGTTATTTTGCATATCGCCAAGTGTCTCACAGCTGTAGTTTGCTTCGACCCTCACGAGATGTAACAAACCTTGCGCATCATTCCCACGATTAAATGAAAGCCTTTTGTTGATTGCTTTCATATTCTTGTGTCTACATCGCCATTAAGAAGCTTAGCTTTCACGTCTAATTGACATATCCCATGTTTTTGTTGGCAGCAGATGGAGAGAACACACGCATGGATTTTAAGCTGATGATTGGGAATACGTCTCTAGGAAGTCAACTCTATACACCTAGGTAACAAATTCAGCCACCGGACGTGCTTGTATCAAATATTGGTCGCATAGCTCAATATCGAACTTCTACTTGCGATCGTAATTGCGGGCGCCATGAGGCCGTCGAATCGAACGTAAGGTAGGAAATTTAAGAGAATCCTGAGCATCAGGTGATGCCATGGCTTCTGCGTACGTGCGAAAAATCTCCAGAACGAAGCGGGAACTCTCATATCCGTCAAATAGGTGAAGCCGTTTGGGATTGTATTCCACTATATTCGAATCAATGTCACGAGTAGGAAAATATGGCTCGATGTAGGTGCCTATTGAAGAACACATTATTACATCACGGGTAATCCATTGACCGACAGCAGCGGCGATTGTTAATCTGCACGAGATGGTGTGAATTTACCCATCGTGAAGTGAGTTCATCCTCTCACCTTGATCAAGATGCGCATATTATCCAACGTGCCGATTCATGGACATGCGCGAGGAGGTGCAATGCAACGCGATGCGACATGAGTCAAATCGAATTGACGTGGGACCAACTGATTAGGCTCGGATGACTGGGTCTCAGGGGGGTAATCGTGTTGAAAAAACACGGTTTCTATCAGTTTGTCGAGCGTTTATCGATACTGATGTCAGCTGCCTCAACAAGATGTCGGGCTGGTTCACCAACCAATATAAATGCATGACCATTTGATGCCAGTCGGCTACCAAGCGCAGCTGGACTGCGCACAAATAAGGACTGCTCATCAAGGCGTGCGCGTGACCAACAACGACTGTGATTCACAATTAAATCACAACACGCTTTTGATTCGTATGCACATCCCAAGAAAATGCAGCGATGTGTGGACTTTAGTGCCAAACTTTTTCCGCTTGGATATATCAACGTTCACAAAGCCGCGCGAACCAAACATAACGTGACGGCTACAAATTCCAAAATAATTCGTATGGTATTGTGTCGTAGCGAGCAGGGCTAGGAAGACAATTGATCGCGACGGCAAAGTTCACAAATGCTTTTCCCACCCATCATTTTGAAGCTGCTGATGATATAGCATTGCTCATTCCATCTCAATTCTCAAATTTAGTCTGCTCAACCAGAGCATTCTGCAGTAGCAAGTAGGGGGCACTAGTCTGGTGGAAAAGTCGATGTTAAGCGCATATATCGCTCACCCGCTTGCTGAAATAATCCCCGCGTAGTCAGCTTGGACGTATCTAATGTACCTGTAGATTTGGGCCTCCAGTAAACACTTGAACTATGCAAGCACTTCATTGTTGAGCTTCAGCATGTAAAATAAGACGTAACGCGACCAGTCGTCTATGGAGACGACCACGTAAAAAGCCTTACCTTTTAACTTCACGTCATTTGAGCTAATCACAATACTGTGAAGTATCCGTAAGGAAGAGCTAGTGTTGATCACTCTGTTAGACGACTTGGCAAATTTCTCGACAGGCATTTTCTCTCTTACGAAGCCTTTACACAGACCATCGAGCGGTGAAAGTGACGGCCGGTGGAACTTATCATTTGCAATATAATGTAGGCCGGCAACATTGTCAGAGGCGACATGACCGAGGAGGGCGTGTCACGCGGTTACCTCTTCCGAGCTCGTCGATGCGACGTTCACAAAATCGATGTGGGGCTAACTTGTCGACTACTCTACGATATGGGAATCTTGTCTTCACAGAGTGCACGTCTGCCCCGCGC